CGAGACTACACTGCCGATACAATAATTTTTCGACCATTCAGAACTAGAGCAATGTAGCCGGTAACGTTATGTCAAGAGAGTTTACATCTTTAACCGGAAAGTATCAAATATTTAAGTATCCTATAGTTAGATAAAAAAAAAATTAAATCTTACAAAAATGTAACGTTTGTTCGAGATTCGGCAAACGAGAACTTGTATCGAGATCAAGATGGCGGAGACTACAGCGCGTGCGACCGGCGGCCATGTTAAGACAAGTTTTTCAGTTCCATAAGTATTGTGAATATTCTTTATTTTTCTTACATACGTGTTACCTATAGGGAGAGCTCCGCCCTCTATTAAGTTATTTTGTTGTTTTTATATAATTGCATATCTTTGTCTATAACACAATCTCAACATTAAGTAGTTCTCCAGAGGAAATGTTATTTTGGCAGAATACATATTAAGGTGGCTCCACACTTTCGCAATTAACCAGCAAAATTCGTTGAAACTTTCAAATAAAGGTTATGCAACTATGTAGAGTTAATTTTATGAAAATCTAAACATTCCGATAGTTTGGGGACTTTTTTGGAAAAAACAACAAAAAAATGAATTTTCGCCACTTTTAATATTTTCCGGGTGTTTTTTTGTGTGTGGCATTGTTCGGAACAATAACAACAATAAAAAACTGAAAAGAAGCATTTATAATTAACCCTACAAATATTTTATTTATCGCAAAATATGTGACACATGTTACACAAAGTGTTTTTTATTGAAGCTATAAGCAAACAGGACACAAAGATCTATATATATAGAGTGGGAAATTGAACAACATATACACAATGGCTTTATAATTAATTTATTTTACATTTTACAATCACTTTGATCCGGGTGAGAGTTATTTTCCTTGAAAAAAATCGGAACTTTTTGCAGAGGGATGACATTTATACAATGACAGTTGTCTCTGTTTACATATAACAAAAATGATGGAAATAAATGAAAAATATGATATCAAAATTATCAATTTATTGTTCTTTGATGGAACCAAATTACCCTCAGTCATGTACACTTTGGACATCATCCCACAGTCCGCTAACTCACGGTATATTTATAATTACATGTCAGGTACATATGTGACCAGAGGCTATCGCATGGTATGCCGTTCTCACGTGCACTCACACATGCATTTCATAGGTATCTTGATATTTTACAAAACATTATTTTCACAGAGTAAGTAGACTACATCTGTTAACACGATTTAATCGACAGGGCGAAACTCCCTCAGCTTATGAACTCGTGTAAGCACGTGATATGCACATATGAGGTTGGTACGTCCGCATTCCATGTGTTTCCTATATGACTTTCTTGAGGTCGTCTGGTCTCATGTCACTGTCTTCCCGTGAGTCTGTTTATGTCTATGAATTGGGAAGCTTTATTCCTGAAGTACGTGTGATTATACATTTCCTGGTAAAATCTCGATATCGGGTGTTGACATATCACCGGCACGCACGTGTACTATTGTTTAACAGGGGCCTGTTCGTTTATGCGGAACAACCGGTTAGACCGTTTATAAATGTAACAATTTCGGGTATAAATCCTGGCGGACCTGCAAATGTGTATGCAAGCCTTGCAAGGCTTTCTCAAGGCTCGCCTGAAAGCAGCATCAGATTACTAGGTCCTTCCTTATTTTATAAACGAACAACAGTGGTCCGATCGGTTTGACCGTTTAAACGCAAACGGCCCAGGTGTTATATAATTTGCACTACGATATTGAATGCCCGATACGCAATACGGAAATGACGACACGGTGTACATGCACATTTCGTTCAAGATAATTGAGTCCGAGCTGTACTTTTTCCGGAAGTACGTCACGAAAATGGACGCTGATGGCGATGTGTGGAGCCACCTTAAAGTGTGTTGGTATGATACAAAAACAGAAAATGTATCGGCATTCACCATAATATACATTGATAATCAAATCTCCATGATTATGTGAAATTGGGAATTGATCGTGTTTTGCATGCTAAAAAAGTGTTTTACCGGTTTTGATATTAGATGACTAGAATTCGGAAATAACTTGGGTTTTAGCATCAACATAACGCATTTCCTTTGAAGAGATTTCCTTCAAGTGCTTTCGCTTTTCATATTCACCTTGCAACAGTCCAACATTGAATATACACGAACACAGGCTCAGCACTGCCACGACTGTGAAACTCCACGTGAAGCAATGGAGACCGAAACAATCCGACTGTCCTTTGACAGTAATGCTGTTGTCGTATAAGGCACCGAACATTTGCTGTATCCCAAGGCCACCGAACGCATTTCCAAATATGATGCTTCCCCAGTTACGTCCAAAATACTTAAGCCCAAAAAATTCACTGACCATCGCAGGTGTTAAACACCAGAGGGCGCCATTGGAGAAACCGATTCCAATAAGCGCGACAACCAATATGGCAAGTTTATCGGAAAAGAAGATACAAAGAGTCAGGATAATAGTTTGCAGGATGTTGAAGAGGAGCAGAAGACCAACACGAGGCAGTTTTTCTACTACAACGTCAGAAATATACCCTACTAGAAACTTACATACCACGCCTGCTATAGGATTAATTGTAGTGAAAAGCGTTGTATAGGACTCCAAATCATACGACTTCAGATACACGGCTATATTATTCTGAAACATAAGCTGTAATCCCGCACAGAATAAAAAGCCCCAAAAAAGAAATTGAAAATCTGTTCGTTTTATCATTTCGATGCTAGTGATATCCTTGGTTTGGTGTTCAGTACTAACACTGGTATTAGATACCAGCGTGTTCAGATCCGATTCGCTAATATCAGTGTCGTACGATTTAAGGCTAATAATACCCAACAAACCGACGACCCCAAAACATATAGCACTCATCAAATAATATCCCCTAAGGTCCTGATTCTGCTCGTCTTTGAGATGACCTTTGGCGAAACATTCGCCGTACAGGAATGCGAACAGGGCTGGCCCTCCACTAAACGATGCATCCAAGATGCCGATCACTTTTCCCCTGTGTTTCGGGTGGAAGTTGTTTATGTTGGTGATCATACTTGCCATGTACATAAAAATGGCTCCAAAACCTGTAAGAAAGAAATGTTAAAGTTTTTCATTTGAATTTAACAAACAACTATTCTAAGCGGGCACCGCAGGGGCGACACCGGCTGGTATTTCATTGTTTGCATAGAAAAATCACAAGTTAACCTCGACTTGAACATGTAAAACGTAATCAAATCTAATTGTAAGATCGGTAATGGAGATAGAGGTTAATTTAAGGTTATTTGTATTTAAACAAATATCTCAGAAAACCATATGTGTGCACCTGTTTAATGATATAACATCACAAACTCACTTTTGACAACATTTCGTTATTATTTGTGACTTAATTGACTGCAATAAATTGATAGTTATTCCTTTGTAAATAGGTAATGACTTTATAATAGACTTCTTTAAAAGGAACAGCACAGAGTAATAGGTTCCGCTATTTACCTGTAAAATTGGCACAGGTATACACATACAGGATTTTTAGTTGTTTCCGCTTATTTACATAAAGCATTTCAATATTTATCATAAAATCGTACCATTCAATCCTTTGTAATGTGACATGTTTTACGTATTTATGTTCCAAAGAAGAACAAATTATTGATTTCGGATTAGCATACAAAACTGAGAATTCCAAACAAACTCATACCTATTTTTGTATAAATAAAAACCTTAAGCTAATTTTCTGAATTATAATATAATGTGTGTGGTGGTGACTAGTTGAGGATCCTACAACTGTTTAGGTAAACTCAATATTACCCTGCTGTTAATTAAGTATTATCTACCTGTCATATACCCCTAGACACTGTTTATTATCACATGGTGTGATGTCTATCCGAGATCACTCATTTAGAATTTATTTATTTTCGTCTCAACTCGTTGAATAATACACAAATCAATTACTTAATACGTACTGAGTAATACATATTTGACAACACTATAAATGAACCATTCGATTAGAGACGAGTTACACAAAATCATCAGTGAATCATAACATGATTCATATCAATCTATTAAATTATCAATCAATCATATCTTTACTAAAACGCATTCATTTTCTTCATAGAACTAGACTGAAACATTCATGTAACAAAACAGGTTAAAAATTAATAATAATCAGTGTAAGTATATCAATTATATTCTAATGTTTCAAAAAGGTGGACTTCGGTGAAATCGAGCCTTATTTCTTAAGTACATATATACATGATTGCTAAACGAAGGATTATATTTTGTCAAGTTTCACCCGAAACAGTTTTGAACAATAAATAACTTTAATGTCATAAATGTTTAAAATATTTTTCACTGGCTATCCATCATATTGTACTGTTGCGATGATTTTAAGCTTGATGAATATTTTCAAGTATCAAAGACGTTTAATATTATGTTTAAACACCACTTGTAAAATCATCGTTAGTGATTAAGTGCCCCCAATGATAATAACAATAAAAACTTACGGATATGCACCTAGCTTGAACCCATGGTAAAGATAACATTTTAGACAAAAAATTGCGCCAGTCACGGTCTTTCAATTAATACCCTGTATATAGAGTGCATTACTGCAAACATCGAGTCATAAACCTTTTTAGTAGTTTACTAACAAAACTATTAAAAGTCAAGTATAGAGCAGAATTAAATAGCATGACACATGGGTCAAATGCATATGTTTATTACTTTTCAAAAACTATTAAAGAACAATTCAGGAACTCAACAAGTTAATCACTCTGCTTTGACTTTCTATATTGCTAGCCCTGGCAGAATATATAAATCCTCGCTCAGTGAACATGAATGGTGATTCTTCACTGCAAGTGCAGTCCGATATCAACATCACATTAAGATTATAAACAACGCTGAGGGTAAATCCTAAGTGTGAAAACGTAACATAGATACAGTGAACCTCACCACGGTACAATTGTAACAGTGTTAAGTCCGTACATACATCACAATGGTGAAGAATTAGGAATGGTTTAATACGCGGAGGTCTGCTGGTGAGTGTAATATATAATCTGGTGAGTGTAATATATAATCTGGTGAGTGTAATATATAATCTGCCTATTGTCAGTGCTGGTGAGTGTAATATATAATCTGGTGAGAGTAATATAAAATCTGCCTATTGTCAGTGCTGGTGAGTGTAATATATAATCTTGTGAGTGTAATATATAATCTGCCTATTGTCGGTGCTGGTGAGTGTAATATATAATCTGCCTATTGTCTGTGCTGGTGAGTGTAATATATAATCTGCCTATTGTCGGATAGATAATGAGTTCCCTTCTTACATTTGACGAAGTGAATCAATCCGATATTACACTGTTAGCAATTTTATCAAATTATGAATCATCATGGCTAAAATATGTGAAAAGTATTTTTGAAGAATGCAGTCTGATACATATATTTAATAGTCAAGAGTTTCGAAGTATACATGGGCTAAAAAGTACGATATTTTATAAACTAAAAGAAAAATGTATATCAAACTGGAGAAATGAAATGTATACTTCTCCGAAAGGAACCAATTATAGAATATATAAGTACGAACTTTGTTTAGAAAAGTACTTACTAGAACTCCCTCCGAAACTAGCCAAAGCGTATTGTAAGTTTAGAACATGTAATACTAAGTTACCAATTGAAAGTGGTAGGTGGTTCAATATACCACGTACAAATAGATTATATAGTTTATGTTATTTAAGAGAAATTGGCGACGAATTTCATTATCTGTTTACATGTACACATCAACCAATTCTCAATAGTAGGCGAAAACATATGTCCAGATATTATTATGAAAGACCAAACACATTTAAATATCATACATTATTCAATTTTGTAACACAACATGAATTGACATCATTGGCTAAATTTATAACCAATATTAATGACATAATTAATTTACAATACTAATGTCCATCCTGTTCCACCATGTATTATTGCCACCCATTTGTATATATATGTATTCTCTACACTGTATTGTTTATGAGAATAAAACAATTGTCATTACAATTATTAACTCACTAACTCTTATTATATATTGATATGTGTATATATATATATCCAATAATGGGATCTTTTTTTTCTTTTTTTTTCTCTCGGTTAGTTAAAAAAAATGATTTAAAAAGAAATCTTCACGAACCGAAAGATTATGCAATCGACCTTTCAAAACTCTTCGATGAGAACAAACTGATAGTTGAAATATTTCTTAAAAATTAATGCCAGTACCCAAGCTTTGGCTTATGTATAAAATTATACAAATTTTCTCTGTCATCTACTAGAGAATGCTGTCAAAGAAATTCCTTATATTGGTTTCTATACTGAAATTTTAAAACAAACTTGTTATAAGATATATTTCATAGTATGAATGCATAGTCGTAGTGTCCTATTTCATCGCCGTACACAATGCAGTGATAAAGTCAATCTAGTATATACTAGTACAAGGTTAAGTATAAATATCATTATAATTAATACAAGGAGATTATTTAATCACCAGTATATTGTTTTACATGAACCTCTGCACTAACCCTGTGTATCAAGTTTACCTGCTATATTTTTGTTATATATGTTATAAATTATTAAACAAAATTACTCCGGGGTTGTTGTAGACTGCTATCATAAACAAAAGAAATACGAAACTCATAAGGAAAACCTGATCGTTGCGTGGCACATACTATAAAACAAGTTGGTTGAACGATGCAGGCCAGTGTGTTGCATTAGTAATCACCTCTACATGGTAGTTTTATGGATTTAATGAAACAGTAGTTTTATTTTAATGTATATCTTTCATGGGAGTTACTCCCCCTGGAACAATTGGTCTGTAGTAGGCGCTTAGCGCCGCTTGGGGGTTTGAAAAAACGTATACCTCGATTCAGATCTGCGGCGTACTTAGATGGCTTTCCTTATCTTTCGCTTGAACATATTGTTTTCTCTGTCTAATAATTTAGAGCTATCCTAGTGAATTGCACGATTTTTCCTGTTATTGTTCAGGGATTGAGACTGCTTCATTTCTGATCGGATGACTGTCGTTATGCCATGTCCGAGATATGTCCTCTGAATCGTTCCGGATAATCCGATTTTTTATCGTCCTTTTTCACTGGTAAAACAACTAACTGTGCAAACGATTGTAACTTAGCCGAATCGATTGTATTGTCCCAACTCGTACATAATTTACACCATTGTATATTTTAGCTTCAGGGACCAATTGTCTGATCATCGTTACAGAGTATATTTTCTTGCTCGGGATTTAACGCCCTCAAAAGAGCCAGGATGGAGAAGATTCATAAAAGTCATCCAAACGTCACAAAAAAAACCATTTACTGTTGGTACTACATAAACCTCCGTACATTGTAACATACTAACGAATCTGAAGAAAAAGTTTACAAAAATGGCTCTTTGGAACCCGTCTATAACCCGATTGATGTGAAATGGTACTTTTAGTATGATTTGATTAATACACTTTAATTCAGTATGAGAAATTCGCAACGTATGTTTTATGTATGTATGGACTCATATTACCTGCATGGATTCAATATACACCTGCCATGTTTTAGGATATATGATATATCAGCAGGTAATTTGGGTCTATTCATATAGGCTATTTAACATTATCAATGGTAGAGTAACAGCGGTGTTTCTATAAATTCTATAAATTACAGTACGTGAACAACATTTTGTTAACACTTGTTTACATTATGGTCAATTTTGAGTCATTTAATAGTTTTTATTTAAGTTTCGATCTGGCCAAGCTCGGCCATTTCCTTGATGTATCTGCGGTAGTAAGTAGAAGTAGGGAATACTTGATTTTGCTTACATGCCATTTCTTACCATGCCCCATTTATACAACAACAACAACAGTATCCCGACAACCATAAAACGATAAGGGGCACTACTTATTTCACTTTCAAGTCAAACCCACTTCTTTTCTGACGAAATATAGATCCTCTTCAAACACGTTTATTAAAGTAAGTTTATATGAGCTTCATTTATTTCAGATTTACATTATACCCCAATGCTTCGAAATCTTGATATTTTATAAAGACAAGAAGACTCTACGTTTTGATTACCTGCCAGGAAGAAGTAGAGATATTGTAGAGGTGTGGTATGCGCGTAGTAATCTTCCATCTCTGTTGTGCTCCATAGCAACAAGAAACCAACACAGGATAATAGCAGGGCTGTGAATGACGTCCAACGGGGTCCGAGTCGCTCACACATAAACCCGGCGGGCATACCAAAGGATATTCCGAAGTTACTCATTGAAGCTATTATTTCGACTGAAAAAAATGAAACAGATTTTTCTTTTATCTATTGATGCATAACTGCACATGCAAATCAATCTATTCTACCTTGTTTGCCTATGAAAGCCTGTTATCGCCACCATAACTCTAGTATCTTCGCCACTGTAGCTCAGTCTAGTCATAGTTGTATTAATCAAGCAACAAGTCGTGATACCGGGACGGGAAAAAACAGGTAATGTATATCACATGTATTTCAATCTGAAACCCTCTTCTTAATGGCTGCGAATATATATATATATCGAAAATTTTAATAAAACAAACAAAAGATTGTTTTTTCTTCAAAATACAATGGAGTAAATAAAGTCAACGAATGACCAAGATCGCGAATATCCTAAATATAATGATTGAACAGCATTTGTTGCTTTTTTCAATTTTATGCTGGTAGGAAAGCGAATCGCTAGGACTTCATGTTAAATATAATCGGTTGCCGATTTGCGTTCATACCAAAAATACCGTTCAATCCTTATATTTGCCTTCTTAAGTATTACTTACCTTGATATAGGTATGCCTTTGTATTTTCCTTATTGAAATGTCTGTGTCGTCAGTTCAAACGAGATTCCTGGAACATCGTAACGTCACCAAAATGTTTGCTTTTTGCTGTTGTCTCATGTTATTCGAGGCGGGAGGAGACGCTTCAAAATTACCCTAATCAAATTAAGTTCATAGCTCATACGCAATTTCTTTTGGTAACTCTGTTAGAGGAATCTGTAGTGGCAATTTAAATTTAAATAAAGAGCTATGAATGCAATTTGATCAGCGTAATTTTGAAGCTTCTCCTCTCTCCTCGAAGAACATGAGACAACCGTTAGAATCAAACATTTTGTTGACGTTACGCTCTTCCAGGAAACTTGTTTGCACTGACGATACAGACACTTCAATAATTATAGAATGTATCAAGAAATATCCTTAATAGGGTTAATAACACCTAAGTTTCAGAAAGTTTACTTTTATTTATGGATTCAAAGGCATTTTTTCAATATATGTGCCAGTATGAACAAAAATCTGTTCAATACATATCATATAAAGCCTGCGCCTTTACCAGGATGAAATTGGAAAAAATACCGTTCAATCCTTATGTACATGTCTATACTGATAAAGCAGAGTACAGTACTCCGTGACCCTATACATACATTTACAAATACCACGAGGCGAGATAGTGAGATAGACGTTCATGTCGAGATAAACATGCTGACTGATATAACATATCAATCTACACGAATCGTTTTACACTTTTTCATATTTCAGTTTTAAATCACAGTTTCAGTTTAAATTTCATTTTTAGTTTAAATGTTGTTTTATTTCAACTAACATTCAATTCACTAAGATAGTCATACAAAAAGGCGATTGCTAGACATCACAAGTTTAGGTTTATATTAATCAGTAAGATACAAGCATTGCACTTATATGCGTTAACAATTATATACGAGTGCTGTTATACCTCCGGTAAAAACTACTGGATTTAAACTTCTACATTTTAAACAAGGAAACATACCTTTGACTAACCCCTACAGGTCGGGGGTTGAGAAAAAATACACCTGCTGTTACCAATTCCATGATCGTAGGAGGCGATGCATGTTAGAACCCCCTGCAGAATTGGGGATTTGCGTTTGTGCCCTCTAATAGGGGACACAAAGCGACCAAAACAAACCTGCTGTATCCATTGCAATATTTGCAATCTATTTATAAATGTCATATTATATCTGCCTATATATTTTGTTTCCTAGCGCCTTGTTTGGCAATGTCTCGCGTTTGGCTTTGATGTTGAAGTTTGCCCATGTGAAAGAAGGCAAATGGACTCTGTCCCCGAGTCCTTAAAATTGGTAGTTGATACTCCCTTTTTAACGTTCAGCATTTAGGGAAATGACAACAACTGGTTACTCGTTGTCAGTTTAATGTAACGGGGCGGAATGCTATGTTGTGTTCCTAAGGCAATTTATTTCAATGATGTAGCACTATAAAGTCGGCATCGGATCCTGCCTCCGGTACACATGCATTCATACACTTCACCCATGGAGGCACGTCTTTGAATGACCTTAACTGTTGATAGGATGTTAAACCCTATGCTTCCAACAACCAACATCCTGAATGGTAGCCCGCAGTTCCTCTGGCCGTGACACCACGCTTAGACATTTTGATAGACATGTGTCTAGTGTGGTTCTAGTGCCTTGGCCAAAGGAAACTCCAGCTATCTGACTGGGTGTAGTTAAAATCTGTTTGATGGCGATATACAGTAGTATCTTTTGTGAAATTGTTAGATACAATCTCTATAGTTTAAATAAGGAAACATACCTTCTGACTGGGTGTAATTGAAATGTTTTTTGACGGAGACATTGTACGCTCCAAACGCGTAGATGGATCCGGCTGTAATCATACCCAGACATCCCACACAGAGCGTCAGGTACCGAGGGATCATGTCCACACAGTTGTTCTTTGGCGCCATGGTACTGCATCGGATAAAGTATAATAGTTTCAGTTATTATATGCTCAAGTTCTACCAATCTATAAGCTTCTGTAACATTAGAATACTAGTTAATATCACTTCAACAGCAAGCACCTTTTCGCAATTCCGTAAGTTTTATTCTCGATGTGCATCAAGTAAATTTGAGCGGATCAAAAGTTGTGGCTGGTTTGGTAAGGTCCGTCTCCAACCTTCTGGAAACAAAGAAAGCCTGAGGGAGAGACACTTAAAAACAAAATCGAGAGAAACGAAACAAAGGCATTGCCAAAGGAGAAATGCCTGAGCAGATATAAACAGAAACACACGTCTACATCACTCAGTTAAACCAACATTGATCATGAAGTGTGCGCGAAAAAAGTTACCCACCAATCAACCACTTTCTGGATCTATTCCTGCATTTTGTAATGAAACCAGCTAGCCATATCAAAGGCGTCTTCAGTGACGATTTTTCCAGACATATAAAATCATTACATTTAAGCTCAATCCTGTTATCCTTGTCAAGACTATGACATTGACATAAAATGCAAATGTGAAAAATAATCATTAAAATATGTGATGAATATAATTGTCTACCAAACAGCCCAAGCTCAGTACGTACATAGTTCGCCGTATCCTTATATCGTGAGTGTAATCCTGTATCAGGAGCGCTGTGTCGCTGTACTAGATGTATCCCTGTGAAGTTCTATCCCTGTGTAGCCTTGTTACGGGATGTACTCGTGAAGCACTACCAGCTGTTATCCAAGGATGTAAGAGTAAAATTGACTGTCAGGACACAGTAACTTTGATATGTCAACACGTATATTTACCTGTGTCCAGGTATACCATAAGATAACCGATATACAATCATTGACAACATACAGTACATGGACTAAGCTGTACTGGACCCCAGGGACCAAGCTCTATCACACAGGACACAGGGACCAAGCTCTATCACACAGGACACGGGGACCAAGCTTTATCACACAAGACACAGGGACCAAACTCTATCACACAGGACACAATAGTAGGCGAAAACATATGTCCAGATATTATTATGAACACAGGGACCAAGATGTATCAAATAAACAATATCCAACAGGACACAGGGACTAAGCTGTATCAAATATACCATATCCAACAGGACACAGGGACCAAGATGTATCAAATATACAATATCCAACAGGACACAGGGACTAAGCTGTATCAGATCTACCATAGCCAACAGGACACAGGGACCAAGCTGTATCAAATCTACCATATCAAACAGGACACAGGGACCAAGCTGGTCTAGACCCAGGGACCAAGCTCTATCACACAGGACACGGGGACCAAGCTTTCTCACACAAGACACAGGGACCAAACTCTATCACACAGGACACAGGGGCCAAGCTCTATCAAATCTACCATATCCAACAGGACACAGGGACCTAGGTGTATCACACAGGACACAGGGGCCAAGCTCTATCAAATCTACCATACCCAACAGGACACAGGGACTAAGCTGTATCAAATATACCATATCCAACAGGACACAGGGACCAAGATGTATCAAATAAACAATATCCAACAGGACACAGGGACTAAGCTGAATCAGATCTACCATATCCAACAGGACACAGGGACCAGACTCTACTGAACCCCAGGGACCAAGCTTTATCAAATCTATCATATCTAACAGGACACATGGACCAAGCTGTTTCAAATCTACCATATCCAACAAGACAGAGGGACCAAGCTGTATCAAATCTACCATATCAAACAGGACACAGATCACACAGGCCACAGGGACAAAGCTCTATCACACAGGACACAGGGACAAAGCTCTATCAAATCTACCACATCCAATAGGACACAGGGACTAAGCAGATCACACAGGCCACAGGGACAAAGGACACAGGGACCAAGCTCTATCACACAGGACACAGGGACCAAGCTGTATCAAATCTCCCATATCCAACAGGACACAGTGACCAAGCTCTATCACACAGAACACAGAAACCAAGCTTTATCACACAGGACAGAGGGACCAAGCTCTATCACACAGGACACAGGGACCAAGCTGTATCAAATCTACTATATCCAACAGGACAAAGGGACCAAGCTCTATCACACAGGACACAGGGACCAAGCTGTATCAAATCTCCCATATCCAACAGGACACAGGGATCTACCATACCCAACAGGACACAGGGATCTACCATACCCAACAGGACACAGGGATCTACCATACCCAACAGGACACAGGGATCTACCATACCCAACAGGACACAGGGACCAAGCTGTAGCTTATCTACCATATCCAACTGGACACAGGGACATGGCTCTATCACCCAGGACACAGGGACCAAGCTGTATCAAATCTCCCATATCCAACAGGACACAGGGACAAAGCTCTATCAAATCTACCATATCCAAAAGGACACAGGGACCAAGCTGTATCAAATCTCCCATATCCAACAGGACACAGGGACAAAGCTCTATCAAATCTACCATATCAAACAGGACACAGATCACACAGGCCACAGGGACAAAGCTCTATCACACAGGACACAGGGACAAAGCTCTATCAAATCTACCATATCCAACAGGACACAGGGACCAAGCTGTAGCTTATCTACCATATCCAACAGGACACAGGGACATGGCTCTATCACACAGGACACAGGGACCAAACTCTATCACACAGGACACAGGGGCCAAGCTCTATCACACAGGACACAGGGACCAAGCTCTATCAAATCTACCATATCCAACAGGACACAGGGACTAAGCTGTATCAAATATCCCATATCCAACAGGACACAGGGACCAAGCTGTATCAACTCTACCATATCCAACAGGACACAGGGACCAACCTGTATCAAATATACCATATCCAACATGACACCGGGACTAAGCTGTATCAAATCTACCATATCCAACAGGACACAGGGACTAAGCTGTATCAAATATACCATATCCAACAGGACACAGGGACCAAGCTGTACTAGACCCAGGGACCAAGTTGTACTGGACCCAGGGACCAAGCTGTATCAAATCTACCATATCCAACAGGACACATGGACCAAGCTGTTTCAAATCTACCATATCCAACAAGACAGAGGGACCAAGCTGTATCAAATCTACCATATCCGACAGGACACAGGGACTAAGCTTTATCAAATCTACCATATCCAACAGGACACAGGGACCAAGCTATATCAAATCTACCATATCCAACAGGACACAGTGACCAAGCTCTATCACACAGGACACAGAAACCAAGCTTTATCACACAGGACACAGGAACCAAGCTCTATCACACAGGACACAGGGACCAAGCTGTATCAAATCTACCATATCCAACAGGACACAGGGACCAAGCTCTATCATACAGGACACAGGGACCAAGCTCTATCACACAGGACACACGGGCCAAGCTCTATCACACAGGACACAGGGGCCAAGCTCTATCAAATCTACCATATCCAACAGAACCCAGGGACCAAGCTGTATCAAATCATCTACCATACCCAACAGGACACAGGGACCAAGCTGCATCAAATCTACAATATCCAACAGGCCACAGGGACCAAGCTGTATCAAATCATCTACCATACCCAACAGGACACAGGGACCAAGATGTATCAAATCTACCATATCCAACAGGACACAGGGACCAAGCTGTATCAAATCTACAATATCCAACAGGACACAGGGACCAAGATGTATCAAATCTACAATATCCAACAGGACACAGGGACTAAGCTGTATCAGATCTACCATATCCAACAGGACACAGGGACCAAGCTGTATCAAATCTACAATATCCAACAGGACACAGGGACCAAGCTGTATAAAATCTACAATATCCAACAGGACACAGGGACTAAGATGTATCAGATCTACCATATCCAACAGGACCCAGGGACATGTATCAAATCTACAATATCCAACAGGACACAGGGACCAAGATGTATTAAATCTACAATATCCAACAGGACACAGGGACCATCAAATCTACCATATCCAACAGGACACAGGGACCAAGCTGTATCTTATCTACCATATCCAACAGGTCACAGGAACAAAGCTCTATCACACAGGACACAGGGGCCAAGCTCTATCACGCAGGACACAGGGACCAAGCTCTATCACACAGGACACAGGGACAAAGCTCTATCGAATCTACCATTTCCAACAGGACACAGGGACCAAACTGTATCAAATCTACCATATCCAACAGGACAAAGGGACCAAGCTGTATCAAATCTACCATATCAAACAGGACACAGGAACCAAGCTGTATCAAATCTACCATATCCAACAGGACACAGGGACCAAGCTGTATCAAATCTACCGTATCTGTATCAAATCTCCATATCAAACAGGACACAGGCACCAAGCTGTACTAGACCCAGCGACCAAGCTCTATCACACAGGACACAGGGACAAAGCTCTATCAAATCTACCATATCAAACAGAACACAGGAACCAAGCTGTATCAAATCTACCATATCCAACAGGACACAAGGACTAAGCTGTATCAAATCTCCATATCAAACAGGACACAGGGACCAAGCTGTATCAAATCTCCATATCAAACAGGACACAGAGACCAGGCTGTATCCAATCTACCATATCAAACAGGACACAGGGACCAAGCTGTATCAAATCTCCATATTAAACAGGACACAGGGACCAAGCTGTACTAGACCCAGGGACCAAGCTCTATCACACAGGACACAGGGACAAAGCTCTATCAAATCTACCATATCAAACAGGACACAGGGACCAAGCTGTATCAAATCTACCATATCCAACAGGACACAAGGACTAAGCTGTATCAAATCTCCATATCAAACAGGACACAGAGACCAAGCTGTATCAAATCTACCATATCCAACAGGACACAAGGACTAAGCTGTATCAAATCTCTATATCAAACAGGACACAGAGACCAAGCTGTACTGGACCCAGGGACCAAGCTCTATCAAATCTACCATATCAAACAGAACACTGGGACCAAGCTCTATCAAAACTACCATATCCAACAGGACACAGGGACTAAGCTCTATCACACAGGACACAGGGACCATACTCTATCAAATCTACCATATCCAACAGGACACAGGGACTTAGCTCTATCACACAGGACACAGGGGCCAAGCTCTATCAAATCTACCATATCCAACAGGACACAGGGACTAAGCTCTATCACACAGGACACAGGGACCATACTCTATCAAATCTACCATATATATCCAACAGGACACAGGGACCAAGCTGTATCAAATCTACCATATCAAACAGGACACAGGGACTAAGCTGTATCAAATCTACCATATCCAACAGGACACAGGGACTTAGCTGTATCAAATCTACCATATCAAACAAGACACAGGGACCAAGCTGTACTGGTCCCAGGGACCAAGCTGTATCAAATCTACCATATCCAACAGGACACAGGGACCAACCTGTATCAAATATACCATATCAAACAAGACACAGGGACCAAGCTGTACTGGACCCAGGGACCAAGATGTATCAAATCTACCATATCCAACAGGACCCAGGGACCAAGCTGTATCAAATCTACCATATCCAACAGGATACAGGGACCAAGCTCTATTAAATCTACCATATCCATTAAGACACAGGGACCAAGCTGTATCAAATTTACCATATTCAACAAGACAGAGGGACCAAGCTGTATCAAATCTACCATATCCAACAGGACACAAGGACTAAGCTGTATCAAATCTACAATATCAAACAGGACACAGGGACCAAGCTGTACTGGACCCAGGGACCAAGCTGTATCAAATCTACCATATTCAACAAGACAGAGGGACCAAGCT